AAGTAAGTTCCTAGACTTGTTAAATTCTTTAACGGCAAGTTTATCTGCTTAAACTTTAAAGAGGATGAGTTCAGCCTAATTTCCTCTCTGTGCCTTACTTAGTATATTAGTGAGTATGTGAGAGTACTGCAGAGTGCAGGAGGAAAAGCAGACGACTACCACACAGCAAAACTCGATTTAAAAATCCCCACTGAATGTCTTCCTCTTTCCCTAATATTTCTCCCTAGCAGTCAGTAATCTTATCCCTGCATCTCTTTTGTTTTTCATTGTCTGTTTACAGTCTCTCAGAAAATATACTGTGTTGAACGATTAATTTCTGGCTCCAGTGTTGTATCCCCACCCACAAACACAAAGCCTGCAGTTAGATAAACTACTATTGCAAGCAAAATTTTGCTTTTTAAGTTTATCCCCTGGAGATCTCATTTTCTATGCCAAATAGGTTTTCAAAGCACAGTATTCATGCAATAATTCCTAGAAGAACATTCTGCTGCTAAGAAAAATAAGACTTTTTATTTATAGTTGCAGGAATTCACTTGCCTCAAACTGAACACCACCTCCTGAAGGGACGCTGCAGGTGACATTGAAGATCACCTTTGTGTGATGTTTTCTCTGATGTGAAAGTTAACTAAAACCCGTTTGGATGGATCCTTCATTTAACAGATATATGTTCGTCAACTATAACTGACTTTAAATTTATTATATATTTTCTGATGCAAGTTAACTCCCTAAAAACTTGAATGTAAAAGAAACTAACTTGGTCCCCAGGAACTGAGAGCTTTGTAACTGACAGTATACGGCTAGAAGTCTCCTAGAGGCAGATTCATCCATTTGTGGCCTCTTGCTTCTACATATTTAAACCACGTAACCACCAAGTATGGATTTGAGTCAAAAGTTTGCCATTACCCTTGTAACTAAGGGTGTTAATTACGGCAGGAGTGAGTTTCTACTAAAGACGAGTTCAGCCCAACTTTCTCCCGCCCCCTTACTTGCCTTTCTGTCATGCTATAAAGCAGCAGCACATGGGCCCTTGCTAGGAATCAGCACCATGCTCTCAGACTTTCCAGCACCCAGAACTGAGAGAAAAACACATCTGTTGTTTGTAAAATATCCGCTCCGGTATTGTGTGATAGGAGCATAAAACAGATTAAGACAAATAGTATTCTAAAACAAAATTCAAAAGATTATGTTTAGGACTGTAATACAAAAAAATTTTAATTCCAAAGAATTCACTTATCATTCATAAAGACTAAACATGAAATATAAGTTTTGTTTTGCCTTATAAACACAATGTTGGGTGTCAAGAGAAATTATCTAAACCGGGCTACAGAAGGATACATAACAGCGGGCCTTATTACTTATCATTGTGCCACAGAAGGCTGCTAAGTATGCCACTTTAATTTTAAGAGCACACAGAGCTACATGGAAAGTAAATAACGCTGAAGTCTCATTCTGATGCTCTGAAATTTTAGTGATATTGGTGGGTTCTGCTGATATTTTTTGTTTATCACTGACATTCACAGAAGCTACAGCCTAACACATTCATTCCAGAAGAAATTTTCCCTGCAATGAACAAAGCCCTTTTGTGCTTCTGGTAAAACATGACTCCTCTAAGGCAATTAGCTGTTTTAAAAATAAACTAATTCATTTTGGAGATCTGATGTATAATTATGCAGCTGCATGGACTGGAGAGGCATGGTGACTGGCTACAGTGCTAGTAAAATTAGAAAGAAAAAAAGCATCTCCATGCTGACAGTTAAGCACTGACTTATTGTCCAATTGCCACCGTTGCCTTATTTGAGGGAGGGTACAGAATGAACCTCTCTCTAAAATAATACATTTCTGATCATGAAAGCAGGATGCAGGATGTTTTCAGAGATGGAATGGAAAGTTTAAAAAACCCAACATTTATCCAGACACTTATTTCTGAGAAACTGGACACCCTCTGTAAAATTAATATTTACACCTCCATAAAAACATGACTTTAAGGATGTAATTCACTCACTCTATAGGCAGAGTAATTTTGTACTAGTCTAACAAACATAACATTTGATGACATGGCACTTTGTGGGATTCAAGGTGATATCCAGAAGAATAAATTGCTCCTGTTCCATTTTCAGAGATTTATTTCCAAGACTGCAGCTTCCTTGGGTGAGAAGAATATTCCTAACTAATAGCCTTGCTATTTTCCCAGAGATTTATTGGGCAGAGGGCTGTCACTGAATTCAACACTGCACCAGGACCAGCTTGCAGCCTGATCATCCGCAGAACCCACATGGTAAACAGACACCACACAATGAACTATATTTAAAATTCTACTAGCACATTTAGCTTGTCTTTCAATTACATTATATGCTCCTCAATGTCAATGCACGGGGTCTGAGGAGGTCTCCCAAAGAAGAGATGAAACCTATGAGGTTGGTGTAGGTTTTTGTTCTTGACGGAGTTTCTTGACATATCACAAAGGAAGAATTTTCAGCACAAATCAGTAAGAGGTTTAGAAGGTTTCATTAGGCAGAGAGAAGCACACACTCAGAGAGAAGCTGAGTACGCATAGGGTGAGATGTGTTGTGGTCCAGAGCTGAAAGTATAATTGCAAAGTGCCAATACTATTAAACCTGAATCCTAAGGCTTTAATTTAGAAAAAAACAACTCAAAATTAACAACTTTTGTCTTTAAAAAAACACACACAATAATATACATGCCACAGTTTCACCACTACTGATGTATGATGTGTATTTCTTATGTCAGTCAAGTTAACTATTTGGTGGGCTAGAAGCCAAATCATTTGCAGGTGTTTAAAGCTAAGAGATAGTGCTACTCACTTACTAATGCTTTTTCCTGATGATAGAAATCTATGAGAGGAAAAGCATAGGCCCAGTTTCCAGGCACAGTGCATCTTTAAAACCATTAAATATTTTTGGAGTGAGTTTCCTAAAGGGAAAAAGGCATTGTAACTTTTGGCAACTTTGTGTCCTGAAGCTGTAGTGTTCTTAAAAAGTATAATTTAAAAATTATGATTGTCGGCCAGGAATTTAGCTCAATGGTTCCGCCACCTGCCTCGCAAGTACAAGGACCCAAGTTCAATCCCTGGTATGAAAACAAACAACCAAATAAAATGTATGATTATCTTTTTCTCCCATCTTTATTTCTTCTCCATCTCACCAATAAATGAAGGCAGCAATATCCACACAATGTGTCTGTGTAAGAACCTCTTTCCCTCTCTCTCTCCCCTTTCCTCCCTTCTTCTATTCTGTCCTCTTTCATCCCTTTCCTCCTTCTGCTTTACTGTTTTCTCCTCTAGGTAGTCCATGTTATTGCTACGGATGGTTTTAAATCGCACCATTTTGTGTCTCCGATTTTCACATTTCTATTGCTGCATTTATTAAGTAATCCTCTAATATCCTGAAATTAGAGAATATGAATGTCAGCTCAAGATAAACACTAAAGTAATCATTGTCTTTTTGATATGTGCTTTTCAATTATATGAGAATGCAAAAGTTTATTAAAATTTGGTAATGAATCTGCCTTACTCAACAAAAGGAAAAAAATCAGTTCAGAGACAATAAAATGTATACAAATAAAAGAATACATTGAAACAGATTATTTTAAAATGTTTTCTTTAAGATAATTTTTGATGCATCCCAAAAATCAAATACAAACTGCATCTTCACATTTCATTTCCCTAAGTCTCTGATTTCATCACCTGGCAAAGCCTCCCCTGGCGATCACTGTGGCTAGAGCACCCAGGAGAAAACTTTCGGCTGCAGAGGCAGCTACAGAGGTTACCTGAGAAAGTGAAGTACAAGCAGAGCTCTCCTGGATATTGCCAATATTTTGTTAATCATTTTTTAGACAATTTAAAATGTATAGAAAAGACAGAAAATTAGTACACAGAATTCAGTATCTCCTATACACAGATTTCTGCATTTTTAACATTATGCCACATTATATGGCTGTTTTCTTAATTTAATGAAACTTCCATAGAATGCATGTGCACGCACATGCACACGCGCACACACACACACACACACACACACACACACACACACACACAGCTGTGAGTTACTGCCGAGGCTTAATATCAGCCCCGGGTAGAAAGACTGACACAGTCTTCCTGAGAGAAGTGCTACAATGTCAACTCTTTCCTCCATTTTTCTCTCAGATGGTCTCCAATAAGGCAGATAATAAAGGTAAATGTACATGGGCCTGGCAAACTAAGAAACAGTTATTTTATTTCCTCATTTTCAGTGACACATGCGGAACAACATAAACACATAAAGGAGCATTGTCACGGCATTATTTACTGTACTGCGGATATAGCATAAAGTTCATCAGAGAGTCTACCTAAAGAGGTCAAAGGGTCTGACTTCTGAGTATTTTAGACCACTGAAGGTCACTTAAAACATGTGGCCAACAGGTTGATCCATCAGCATGAAGCTCTAAGGAAAACATTAGAAGAGGGTATTAGTCAGTGAGAAGTGAACCAATTATATATTACTACATATTGTTATATATTACTAAAGCTACAAAAAATAAGCATGCTTCAAGAAGAGCTTGGGGCAAAAAAAAAAAAATCAAGATTGCAAAGACAATTCAACATACCATTTTTTTATATTTAACTTAAAATTTTCCAAAATAATCCAACCTTAAAGATTGCTTTAGTGACTTATGCTATCTTTGCTTCTTCCAATATTTCTTAGAAATGCAGTACACCGGGTATACACACGAATGGGCACTGAACCCACGGGTGCACATAATGAGTGGAAAATAAATATTATCTCAGAGAGACATGAGGTTGCTATGTACATAGGTACTGTTGATTTAACACAAAATAGAAATGTTGAGTTTTATAAATCTCCTGAGTTGATGTCAGAAGAACGAACATGTTGGCTATGTAAGGGAAAGGCCCATTTCAGGCACCTGGAGACCTTCCAGTATCTGAAATGAAAAGTAAAACTGGTAATGCATCAGAGAAAGCTGTGTGGGAGAGGTGCACAAGATCAGAAGCGACAGCAGTCAGAAGCCACCAGTCCCTGCAGACCACAATAACACAAGGAGTGGATGAAGAGTCGGGCATGTGGAAGAGGGGGCCCTAAGTGTGAAACAGCTTCATTCACCCTAAGGGAGAGAGAGCAGGCCCAGAACCATGTCGGCAGCGCACGCCTGAGTGGCAGTTCATGAAGGACAGAAGCAGAGGTGAGTGGACTAGAGGGACCGTCTGAATATTATCTGTAACATGGAATTTGATTCGAAGCCTGCCAATAATAAGGCAGAGATAGATACTATAAATAAATACAAGCTAAAAGACAAAACAGGACTCCAAATCAAATCTTCCAGAAAAGGCAGCTGAAACAGGGTACCACATAAAATCTTCGGGGATAGAGGAAGTCTGTGACAATGACAGATCAGCACCATTCACAGGGAGGGAGGAGAAGATAGGGAAAGAGGGATTGTTACAGACTTCCTAGAGGCCTGCAGTCCGGTGTCTGCATTAATAGCTGAGTTTAAAACATGGGAAAACACTTGGGAAAGCCAGATTATAAACAGTCATTTACAAGATATTTGAAAAAGTACCAAAATCAACACATTTTACTAGCTAAGTCTTCCTAGTACTGTATCTCTTTCTCTTACATCCTTCAGGCAATAATAGTCTGTTTTTTCTCCATAATGGTGAGTTACATCGTGGTACCTCTGACCTACTAGATAAATAATTAAAGTTCCTGAACTTAGCTGAGTCAGTCTCGGTTCTCGTTTTAGGAACTGAAAACCAACACACGGCATACAGCATTTGCAAAGGCACAGAGGTAGGAAAAGGTAAGAAGTTGAGAAGGCCAAAAGACCCCATTGTTGAGATATCATCTAATTTGCTGTAGGAAAATGAAAAGATACCCTTTTTGTTTAAGTTGGCCATTTTGATTTTTGTTGATCATGACCAAAACATCCTTAGTTAATATAATCATCAATAATTATAAATGTTGCTCTGGAGCCATGAATGTTGGAATAACACAGTAAAGGGCAAACTTCACAACCTCAGATTGCTCAAAATAAATTGAACAATGGATAAAGCCTAACAGATAAAGGAATAAAAGGCAGGAAAGCTGTCTCTAGGACTCACTTGGCTGAACATCAGATAAAGAGGCCATTTGGACTCATGGCATCACTATGCTCACAGGGAAGCAACGTCAAAGTGCATTCACTTTTTACATAACTATTTCTCAAAACATCTACCTTGTGCCAGGCATGGCTCCAGCTGCTGAGATTGCAGAAATAAACATGGGAGAAAAGATTCTTGCTCTCCTGGTGCTTTCCTTTTTGGACTTGAACTCAAATGAAACTCCTATGTGTCTCTGTCAATTATTTGAAATAGAAGTTTCTTCTGATAAATATCTCCTCTATGCTGTTTCAAAATAGATATTTAACCAAATGAAAATTCCTCGGGGATATGGTAAGGTCTGTTACCGTTGTAGTTCATATTTAGATCTTCATACACTCTGACGCAGGGCTGTTGGACGAGGGCTGGAGCTGACTTACTGTTAGGAGGAGGGCCTGGGAGGGGAGGTAGATCACTGCGGATTTGAATCTGCAGGGAAGGGTGTGATCCCTCTCTGGCTCCTTCCCTCTCTCTCTTTGCTTCCTGGCCTCCAGGACATGCTCAGCTTTCCTCCACCCAGGCACTTCCACCATGCCGCCAAAGTAAGAACTGAGATTTGTGAAACTGCGCCAAGACAAACCTCACCTCCTTCAAGTCTGGGGTGTCCAAGATCGCGTGCCAGCTACCAGTGCAGGGACTGAGACTGTTACCCTTGTAGCTGAATGATATGTAAGTTCTCGAAAGGAAGGGAAAGTAATAACAATGGTAACGTGGGTGACTGATTGCCTAAACATGCTGATTCTAAGCACCTCTGGAATTAGACTCAGGGAAGTCTCAGTCTTTGCATTTTGGATAAATGCTTAAGTCAAACATTGGGCAATCTATGGCGAATTTAACCCTCTGTCTGCTTTTCTAAATAAAGTATTACCAGAACACAGCCGCACTTGCTTATTTACATGTTGTCTATAGTTGATTTTCTGCTAAAATAAAATTAAAAGAAAAAAAAAAACCTGAACTTTTTCCCAATCCCTCCCTTAATTGATTCTTATGTAGGCTAAAGTCTGTAATGAAAGCTTCTTATACTTCTGCATTTTAATGATTTAAAAACTAAAAATTTATTTTAATACTAAGAAAAAGAAAATTTTATACCTGGCTAAGCATAAGAAAGTAAATACAAGGAACGTTAAGATTGCCTTTGTTAATTAGAGTAATTTAAGATAAGCTTTTTTGTGTTGTTTGAGCATTTTGTTTTGTTTTATTTTGTTGTTGGTTTCTTAAATAAATACATTATTATTTTAAAAGTAAAGGAACACAAAGGTCACCTCTATTTAGACCCTGATGTAATTCCTTATAGCTCTCTTTGTATGTAATCATTTATTAAAGACAAAAAGGCATATTCTGAGTGACATCATTTTACTACCAAAGTTGATCTTACTTAAAATTCATTAGTACTACTGATGATTAATAACATTAATGAATATCTATAGTCCTGAATTACTCTCACTAATTTCAGCTACAGGAAGAAAGGTATTAGAACCTCACTCATTTTTACTGTCACAGCAAATAAGATCTTGCCTGGCACCTAGTAGGTTTTCATAAAATAAATGATAGAGAAAGCTATCAGCTATGTTCTTCCATGAGATCCTACTTGTGTGAACTTTTAAAATTGTTCTCATTCATGAAATACAATGTGGTACCATTAGGTTGCTACTACTGAACACCTACACAGTTTTTTTTTACTCTTTTAAACTCCTTGTTAGATGTGTCACCATTTAAAATGTGCTCTTATTTTCTTGTTAATGTGACTTTTGCACAGTCAACCCACGGTTACCCAAAATAACACTAGTGTTTTCCAGAAATATCATACATAAATATGACATTTAATATCCCTCTTAGATATATGTGATCTGTACTCAATGCCAAATAACAGTGAGAAGTAAGCAAATATGAACAAGGAAATGTGCTGCTGCTCCCCAAAAAGAAAGTGGCAGAAAAGGAAAAAAATATGAGAAATTTTGTAAATGGGGAGGGGAGGGGGGTGAAGGGAGGGCAGGGACAAGGGGAAAAAAATGCGAACAAAGACCTGTCATGTAGAGGTACAAGACCCCAATAATGAATGTAACTGTACTGTATATCTAAAATGCACCAATAAGCTCAATGAGGAAAAAAAATGTTTTCTTTCATGCATAAAGTCAAAGAAATTCACATGCACACATGCAGGCCCCACGACAAAAATATTCTCATCTGCTTCTTAGAGATTTTGATTTAGTCACACTGATCAATAAAGTAAAACTAGAATTTATAAAAACCTGACGATTGGTAATGGGAAAATACAGGTAATCATAATTATGTGTGGGTCTGAATCAATGTAGAGGAGGTGATTCTAAGACTTGCAGAAACGGTACAATGACTAAATACCATAAATAAAAGTCCAGAATTAGATGACTAAGAAAACAGTCATTTCATCCTTCTAAATACAAGTCTGATACTACAGAGATTTGTTTGTCTTTTAAATTTATGTTTGTATCATATGGTTTGCACCTATGGACAATAATCAGGAGATTCAGAGAATAGGGAAAAATAACTAAGTGCTAGAAAATGGAAGGCAACTAAGGAATAGTTCAATACCCACTATGCACAATGCTGTTTTCTCATCTTCAGTTTCTCATCTTTAGTTCCTCCACAATCATCCGTATGTGCACTGACTGATCTGTGCATGAAGTAGGCATTGATTTCTATTACATAGCAGGCAATTCATGAAAATTTTAACAAAGAGATGATACAAATTCTTCTGGAGTTTATATTCCAAACAGAAAAAGGGATATTCTTAAAAAGTTATAACTCCCAATGATTGAAGATGTAAAAATTTGAGCAAGAAAATCAAATAGTAGTGGAGAATAACACAGAGAATAAAATAAATGTTCATATGTTCATACTGATGTAAGTAGTTAAATAAGTGGAGATGAACAAATCTCTCATAAAAAGAGCTCCAAATAATGCATATGGATTTCTCTTCTTAAGGAGTAGTTTTATTTTCAATTATTTATTATGAGTTAAGTTTTTTTTTTTTTACTTGCTTCCAAAAAGTAGAATGTAGAAAGGCAGAAAACAGTAACTCCAAAGCGGAGAATCTAGCTAAGATTACTTCCAGCAGGTAATCGAGGTCAACATCATCAGGGCGAAATCCTATTGATATATGCCTCCTGACACCCTCTGTGGGAAGGGACACTTCACCCTAACAGTCTTCCTCCAAAAACCCAAACCTAAACCCCTCCATGCTTTAAAAAAGCAAACAAAGCAAATAAACTAAATTGATACGATTCTTAAAAATACAAAACCAGCACTCCTAAATACTGTCATAATCATAAAAAATCAGTCTAAGAAAATTCCATGGGCCAGCAGAGATAAGAAGACATGATGCCATTATGTAATTCTAGATGAGAACTTGAAAGAAAAAAGAAAAAGAAAAAGGGAGAGAAAAAAGACCTACTGAAATTCAAATAAAGTGAGGAGTGTATCTAACAGTAATGTACCACTGCACTGCACAGGGTAAGAAAGAATTTAGAGAGGTAAGCCTGAAATTTGTGGTTCTAATTAAACTTGGGAAGACAAATGATTTCAGAAAAGAAGTTAAACAGACTTTAGACAGCCTCAGAGAACTCGGAGAACATAAATTGAAGTCCAAGACCACCCAAACAGAGGGACTATATAAAAATTGTGTGTAAAGAGTTGAGATAGAAGGCGTAACAGCTCCCATCTTAGAATTTGAATAAAGTTGACCTACTATTGCTAAGGTTCCTTGTTATCTTCCAAAAGAACCATAAATTTCAAATAATGTTCTAGTCTTCATTTTGTTTTCTTAAAAAATGTAATATAAAGGCCAGGGATGTAGCTCAGTGGTGCCACACCTGCTTGGCAAGCACAAGGTCCTGAGTTCGATTTTCCCCAAAAAAAGGTAATACAAAATGTCTGCTACAATGTGAGGAGAGAAAACAATATGACTCAAGACAAGAGAAACAGGATACAGATGAACCAATAATCAACATAAATAATGATGTTATTCAATACAGATATTAAACATAACATATTCTAATAAAAAAGGCAAGTTTCAGACATATACCAGTGAGACGATTTGCTGCTTACAAGAAATTTATTTAACATATAAGGACCATAGAGTTAGAGCTAAATGAATAAAAGAGATACACTATGCAAACATTAACTGAAACAAAACCTTTATAACTAAACTGACATAAAGAAAAATCATTATTAGGGATAAAAGTGAAAATAAAAAGGTTAGAATAAAGGAAAAATAGATAAATCTATACTATACAGAAGAAATTTAACACATTTCTCCCAGTAAATGATATAAATGTGGACAACAATTTTACTACCTATTCCTAGTAAATACAAACCTTTATAATAATTGACCAGGGAAGTCTTCATAAATTTCTAAATGAATAATTAGAAAATCTGAAGTCAGTCTTATAACCATTAAAAAAAGAAAATGGGGATCTGTTAGGCAATAGGCAGAGGCCCAGAGAGTAAGAAATTTAACAGGGAGTATATATACAAAGTACATTACATGTATATATGAAAATGTCACAAAGCCGGGGATTTAGCTCAGTGGTGCTGCCAGCCTGCCTTGTAAACGCAAGGTCAAGAGTTCAATCCCTGGTACCAAAACCAAACAAAAACAAAACAAAAATGAAAATGTCACAAAGAAAACAATTAAATCTATACTAACAAATTTTCCTACAAATGCCAGGTCCAGAAAATTTCATCAGTAAATTCTACCAACATTGTAAAGAAGAAACAATAATAAATTCTTCCAGGAATTAGAGAAAGAAGAATATTGACCCTCCTGAGTATACCTTGACACTAACTCTAACAATAGAATTTCCAGATAATAAAATTATGCGATAATCTTGTTTATGAACATAGAAGCCAAAGTGTTAAACAAATGTTAAAAAAATAATGTAAACTAAGTTTAAAAGCTCCAATCTCTTTCAATTATAGCATTCTTCAGGAAATATTTAATTAAAATCAAAACTCAGAGGCATGGTTAGAATTCCAAGGACTGGGGACAGCAAGTACTGACAAAGAAATAGAGTGATTTAATACTTTGGTGTTGTAGAATCGCACACTGGCAAATCCACTTTGGAAAATGTTTTAAAATCGTGTATTAAATTTTACCATAATCATATCCTACACAATGGTAATTCATAGGGAAAATTCCCAAATGACAAGATTA